GCCCCCCCCGAAAGCCACAGTCGGTGCTCCCTGCCACCGGTGAGCTGCACACCCACAGCTCCTCCTGGATGTGCCAGGAGTTTGCATGCACCCAGCACATCCATGAACAAGATTCCCCACCGCAGACAAGTCGCTGCACCTTCAGACTGCCTCGGTTTCCTTGTTGGCGGAGCAGAGGCGTCGCCTTACCTTTATGAAGGGCTTAGAGACCCGACGGGGGTTGCAAAGAAATCCTCGGGGAAGCAGCTGAGGTGCCCAGCCCAATAAAAGGTCATTGCAGCTCTGCAATTTGCTGCAGCTCTGCAATTTGCTGCAGCTCTGCAATTTGCTGCAGCTCTGGGCTGGGTGCCTCTGAGCATGGTTAGCAGCTTTGCCGGGCCAAACCCTGGGACACCCTGAATGTCCCCGCATCCACAGAGGGGACCGTACGCGAGTGGGTGGGCTCCGGGAAGGGGTAGCTTTGGGAGGGCACAGCCACAGAGACGAGCATGAGCATCCCCCTCCCCATCACGCAGCCACCAGCAGCCCACCGCTAGCTCCTCTCGGGCTTGCTTGGTGGCGGTGCGGGGGGGGGATAACCATTACCGCAGCCACTGGAAAGCGGATTATCACCCCCTGCACCGGGCTGGATCGACCAAAGCAATGCGAGAGCCCCCGCCTCATGCAAGCGCAGCCAGGGAAGGGTTTTTTCCTCTGTCCCCAAAAGCAAAGTCCGCCTGCAGCCTGAGGCCAGGCTTGCTCTGCAGGGTTTAAAAGCAGCAGCGGGGGACAGGGTTAGTGAGGCATGCGGTTAGCGCGACAGCTCAGCCCCCCGAGCCCGGTTATGATCTCGAGATGAGAGACCGTCTACGGTTAGACCCCTTCGTAGAGATAGAGAGAACAAAAATATTTACCATTAGAAAACGTCTCAAGGATAACGTGTTGCTGGAAGTGTCTCTCCCCTGTTTAACATTATAAAAAAGTGATTTAGAAACAGTGTCCAGCAAGGAGCTCGGTTGGTGTCACACGTCAGTGGGTTCGACTCCGCTGCCTTTCCAGCCTGGCGGATATTGTCCCTCTGGGTTTTTTCTCCCCCCACCTCCCAAAAGAGCCAAACCCCAAGGTTTGGGTCCAATTCTATCGACTCCTCCATCACCCTGTCCGAAGCATCCCGTGCCCCGCGGCCTCTCCAAACCCCCTCCGGTTTCACGCTCTGCATCGTGCTGGCTGGAGCCCCAAGCGAGAGGGAGGAAGCGCGTTACGAGGAGCGTTAGTGCAGCCCGTTAGTCTGGGGAATCGGGTCCTCGTCCTCGCCAGAGCAAAACCAGCGTGTGCCAGGGCGGGTTGCAATCCCCGAGCGGAGCCGTACGGACACTGTGTGGCCGTGGGCTTCGGGAAGGTGACCGTGTCCCACCGGTGGCACTTGCACCACTTGGATTTAGCGGTGAAGCCGGCCAAGCCGGCGGTGAGCAGAAATTTTTGGTGCACTTGGGCTGCTCAGCCTCACCTGTGCATCGGTGGACCCGGGCGCATGGAGCCCCGGGCAAGGCATGGCACAGCCCCAGGGTGCTGAGCACCCGAGGGAGCATGTGGGAGCCTGGGGGGGGACAAATGCCCCAGAAGGGGCTGAGAGTAGCCTGGGCAAAGCTGCAGACCCCAAAGTCAGTGCTAAAACACCCAGGGATCACTTTTGGGGATTGCCTCAAAAAATTAGCTTGAGCTTTGCCCTGCAAAGGAAACTCTGCCTGGCACCACTCATCCGTGGCTGGGAGATGTCCTTCCTTCATCCCAGTCATTTTGGGGAGGGGGCAAGGCACCTCAGCACTTCTTTTTGCTCCCGTGTGGGGACAGAGCCCCGTGGCAGTGCTGGACCGAAGCCGGAGAGCCCCCGGGCGAGCGTGGGGCTGGGGTGCTCAGGGCACATGGAGCCCATCACCCGCAGGACCGAGTGGAGACGAGCGCATCCCCGCTTAATGAGAAACAACGCCGGGTCCGTGCAGAGGGGAGGACGGTGGAAGGGGAAAAGAGGAGAAACGCAGCCCTGGGCTGTGCCTGCGCTGTCCCGAGGGGCTCAGGCTGAGGGCAGGGACTCAGCAGCGGGGACACGGGGTGCCGAGGCTCTGCAGGGACCGCGTCCTCCTCGGGGAGGTTCATGTGCATGGAGCAGCATGCATGGCATGCCCACGGCCACCCGCCTCGCGTCCCCGTGCCCTGCTTTCCCCTTTCCCAGAGCCCTCCTACGCCGCGGTCCCTTCGCTCTGGTGTCCCCAGCATTGACCCGGCAGCGGGGTCCGGCGCAGCCCCGCTCCCGGCACCGCTCCCAGCACCGTCAGCTTCACAAAGCCGGGGAGCATCGGCAGTGCCGCTGCAAACCGCCCGGGCGCAGGTCAGGAAATCGGCCATAAAACTTGAGCTGGGTTTAGTTTCCTTATCCATCTAATAATATTTCCTCC